ACAGCCCTGAGTCTGCGGCGCAATCGCTTTCCGACTTCGTGTTGTGAGCTGAACCTCGCCCAACCTGTTGGTCGTTGTTCGCTGTGCTGCTAAAGCCTGCGCCTAGTAGAGTACTTGTCGATGGCCCGGCGAGCACGTCTACGAGGTCGTGCGCAATGCTGCCGATCGCACTAGCCGTACGATACACAGTGCCGCGATCCGCAGAACCGCCACCGCGCGCACCCTTCCCATTGCGGTGAAGATTGCGAATGCTGCTGCACAACTGGTAGAATGAATCCGGTACACACTCGAGCAAGGTAGAGACCAACAACGGAGTGTCGACAAAGAGGACGCGAAGGCAAGCCCCACGCGACGTCTTCTGAAGGAGCTGGCGTAATTGATCACCATCAAGCGGCGACGTGATATTAATCACAAGAAATATCATGCAGCATTCTGCAAGAAACTGTTCTATCCGCGTCAAAGTGGCCTCGAAATTCGACTTTTCAACGGATATCGGACGTACCTGTTGAAAAATATCAATATCTCTAGTATTTCGCGCTTTGCCTGCCATGCACATGACTTGTTTTCACGTGCTCGAGCGCGAATATAAAAAGAAAGGAAGAGATCATCCTTGTCCATCTCTTCTCAGTATCATATACTTCTCCGAAGATAGTGTAGAGCCATCAATTACGAAATACCGTGTGCTTCGTTTTTTTCAACCACTGGTAGGCTTCGACAATGTTGTTCTCCGCAAACACGGTTGCGCCATACTTCGGGTCGCGGTCGCTGAGCATTTTCACAAGTAGTTCCCGCCGTTCCCGCTCGTCCGCAGGCATCTTGATGTCGTTATCTTTGAGCTGAAGCACCTTCCTCCAGTACTCTCCGGCCTCGTCCAAAAAGTGATCACCCACGAGATGCAACAAGCGCAGCGAGCAGAAATAAAGCAAGTCAGGGTGACGCACTAGCGCCCGGTCTACGAAATCGACACGGCTCTGCTGGTTCGCCAAGTAGACGCTGAAAACTGACGCAAGGATGCTCCCAGTCTCGATAAAACCGGCCGCGTCACTTGTAAACTTTGGTGGCAACTTCAGTTCTGGACCTATCTGCACTAGAAAGCGACGAAAAGGCCCTCCTCCGTGGTCGCACGAAGAATTCACGGGCTGCGTCGCCACAACCTGGTAGTTGACATTATCCGCGTGGTAATCCGCCGGCGACCGCAGTGCAATTTCTATCGGCTCTTCGTCCTCTGATTCAGGAAAAACCAATTTCAGGTGCGTGAACTCCTCGCGCGCAAGCACCTGCTCAAGCGGCTGTGCTGCCTCGTCAATGGTGGCGCCCTCCGGCACCCACCGCCAGTACTCGGCCTTCTGCGAAGAGCCGTAGTTCTCTCCGTGCTTTTCACTCGGTTCAAAAAGGACATACTTGCCGCTGATCTTCAGTCCGATCTCCCGGACTTCGTACACCATCTCGCTAGACTCGCTGCCAAGCGGGGTGAACGGCGTCTTCTTCACGACGATGGGAGATGTCTGGGCGGACAGCGTCCCACCTGCTGCCTCCGAGCAAACCCCGAAGACCAGCAAGCGACCACGCGGGTCACCATTTTTGGCTCCCGCCCCTCCGATGAAACTCAACTGCCTTGCCAGTGCATTGCCGTATGTGCCGCGAAACGGTGCACCGCTTTGCAGGCTGTTGCTGAACTGTCCTGCTGCGTCGAAGGACGCAAGGACGTCTTGAACGCAATTCTGTTCCTCAGCTTGCGCTTTTAGATGCATCGCTTTTGTGTTTCGCTGGAAAAAAAGGCGTAGATTATCAACTAACTTGCTGTCGTGTCCGCATTTGGTCGCATCCGAAGCAAATTGCTCCAGTGCTTCCGGGAAAGGCTTCTCTTTATGTGCTGGCGAGTGCGTAACCCAACAATCACGCAAAGCATGCAGCACATCGATCACATCACTGAATTTGCACTCTTCCAACTTCGACGGATCCGCTTGCAGCGCTAAGAGTACAACGGCGTCGTCGCAATTAGCTTGCTGCGCCAGTTTTTCAAAGTCTAAAGGCGCACGTTGCACCTCCGTGAATTCATCCGTCTGCTCTTTGTTTGCGATGCCTTTCAGCTTGTTCTTCTTTCGCAAATGGTCATCAAAGAGCGCGATCAGGAATTGCTGAAGCGTGACAGCGACGTGATAATCCTCGCTGCCCTTGGTGACAACTCGCAACAGCCGCCCTGCATCTTCCTCCACAGAGCTGCGCTCTCCTACATTCACCAACTCCGAGTGCTCCAGTGAACACTGCGCCGCTGCTGCTGGGTGGCTCGCGAGACGCACGCCACAGCGATCCGAGTCAGTTGCGGCACACGCCTTCTCCGTGATTGGGTCAACCTGCTCGCTTATCCGGCGCGCCTTCATGTACAACTTAGCTGCATTCTCGATAGCGCTTTTCTGTTCCTCAGTTTGCGCATTGCTGCCAACTGCAGCGAGCCCTTTTTGCGCGACCTCTGTCAGCCGGGCACCCAGCCATTCATCTCCGTGCGCTGCTGCATTTTGCAAATTTGGCGCCGCTCGCACTTGCCCATTATCTCCCACGCCCCCCAGTCCGTCTGAGTCTGCAGCAGCTTCAATGCCGGCGCCGACACCATCGCAGTCGACATCCATCAAATCGTCCTCCTTTCTGCTGTTGTTGTACACGAAAAACCGTCCAGCGAAGTCAGTCAAGACCTTTTCGGCACGCGTTGCGAGAAGAGAAATGTACAGAAGATCGATGTCGCCGCGATCAGTGCCCCTACAGAATTCTTTAGAGTAGCCAAGGCCCTGCTCAGTTTGATCTGTGTGACTTTTTACGCGGTCCAGGGTGGCTTCGACCAACTTGATGTGCAACTGCTGTGCCCTCCATTGGGCAGACTGCTCCGAACTTTTTCCTTGCGGTAAAATCATCTCTTTTCTCAGTCTCGCGTCAAGCTTCTTTGCTTCTGTTTGGACCACATTCTTAGCCATTCCCAGTCGATGAAGTTTCTTACCCAACGCACGCAACAGCTCGAAACGCTGGATGATGTTCATGATAGTGTTTTGATGCTAAGTCGAGGCGCATGCAATAATTAACAAACAAGGCATAATTCACACAACGAACACGCTATAACTACAACAAAAGAAAACAAAAAAAAAACCTCCTACTCCAACACAGATTTACAATTTTTTATACTTCTGGACAAAAAGGAGACTTTAGAAGCAAAGGGGTATGTAATTATACTTGCACTTACTGCAGCAAGATGGTAATAGTACCAAACGAATGTTGGTCACCGAGTTCGTCGAGGAGACCACCCAGCAGTCCTTTAGAATTTTCTTCATCGTTTCTTGAGTCATGTCCTTCCACGAATGTTGCTCCAACTCGCCTTTCCAAAAGTCAAAACTTTCGATGACATCATCTTTCTGGTCATCGGAACGAATGATCTCTTGTCGTCGCTTGTGGACGCGCAAAGCCACCAGGGGGTACGGAAAATCTCCAGAGTTGAACGGCGAGAGTGGTGAGGTCCCTGCTGAGCTGGATGAGCTTGTGGATGATGTACTGAATTGGTGCATGCTCGGATTGACGCCTCCGCTGGATGACGTCGCGGTGTTCCCCACTGTTGCTCGGCTGTTTACCCCGATCAGCATTCGTAACCGCGCAGAAAATCGTGGCGCCACAGCTCCGGATGCTCCGTCTCCTCCAGATGGTTGCGCCCGTCCTGCTCCAGAGGACTCGCTGGCGCCTGCTTCTTCCGCGGTCGTCCCTTGGCCACCCATCTTGCCCGGACGAGTCTGCGGACTCGCGCTCTGGCTCGTGGAGCTAAACTTGCTCTTTCTCGCGCCCATCCGTGCACGCTTCGCAGTTTGCTCGGAAGGACGTGCTGCGGTAGCGGTTTCAGACTCGCTGTCTGTCTCCGGCGCAGGGCGCCGCCCGTTCCGCGCGGTTTTTCTTGTATCGCTTTTCCCCATCAGGGACGACGACAGGACTCAGGAGACAGCAGAAAAAAGGACTTTTCGAGGGGCCACGAAACGCTCTTGGAAGTGTGATTTAGAAGAAAAGAATTGTACTCCCTGCAGAATGCAAGAAACAAAGGTTATAGCACAGATTGGAGAAGCACGCCTTCAGTCAGAATTCTCAATATTTTCCTCTCTGTGTAGACAATGTAAACAACAAGAGCAAAGAGTCCTCTACTGATCTTGAAATCGAAAAAAAATTGGGAAATATCAACGGTCGGAAAAACAAACTCAATTTTTCAATCAACACAGCAGTAAGTACAGCAATACAGCTAGAAATATAATATTTTGATGTGTTACTTTTGCTTTTGGAGAAGGGAGATATTCGAATAGGATGGAACTGGAAGAGAAATTTCGTTTCACTAATAAAAACGAAATATTACACAAATCGAAATTTTTTGTTCTTCACACCACCGACCTCGAATGGAAAAAAAATTTGAATCTCTATAAAATCAATAAGGGGAAGTCGCGTAATCGTACTGAACTCCGCCTCAAGGTATATCTAACCGTTCACTCAGAAAAACGAAGTCAGCAATCTTGCTTTGACGTAGCTATCTATCGCAGTTAGAAGTTTTATCAATAAATAGTTTGACGGCTTAGTTTCGAGACGTGAAGCCTTCTCAACTAGCAAGAGCCTGTGAAGATTGATGAATCAATGGGACACTATCTGGGCAACCCGTTTGAAGAATGAGAGCGACTGACGGTTTGCCCCATGCAAAATTTGAGCAAGACGATGTCCTCTTTGCAGATGGCGCGTTTCACAGGGAAATGATGCACATCAACGATGTCCTTGCGGATTGGGAAAAATACTTCAATAAAGCCAAGGTGGATCCTTCTTAATGCAATTCTCACGATTTTCTGGCGTTCAGGGATCGTTTCACACATCACTTCTTGCAACGAGTACACACACAACATGGGGAAATACTTCCGAGGGCACAACATACTACCGATGATGAAACAATTTTTTAGCTCCTGAAGATGTCCGTGATGTTGCCGCGTGATGGGAACCAGCGTTGATTTTGATTCTACAACCCTCCTAGCCGTGCAAGATTGCTTCGGCGCAATCTACCGCGCACAAATCCGTTCACTCTCGGGTAGTAGTGCATAGTGGCAAAATAACTCTCAAATACCTGCAAAACTCGAACCATGGAATGAGATACAGATGGAATAGCTGAGGATTGAATGGGTTCAGCATCAGTAGTCATTCACTAGAATCAGCATGTTGAATGAGGGACATCAACGTTCTTTATATGTCCAGACTGAGTAATAAATCATTCAAATAAAGAATTTAGAGATGACGCATCAACGAACATGGATTATGTCTATTGGGCTGCTACTTTTGAGACAATCTTAACAGCGACAAGGTGGTGGTGGTAGTCGCCATCAACATATTCAAGAAATGACTCAAAACTACCGTCATGTATTACACGCTTCTATTCTTGTCGACTCTTCAGATCGAACACTATGAAGTTCGAATTAATGTCCTCCAGCACGCAGTGATCCCTCACAAGATAGATGCAAAATGAAGAAAAATATTCAAGTACTCATCTATCTTTTATGTAATCCATCTAACTATGAACATGTTGATGTTCTTTGTGGTTCTCATCTGAACTCATCTAAATCCGGGAAGCTACCCTCATACCTTCATCGCAAAACTTTCCCAAAGAGGCTTATAGTGCCTACTGCGCCTAGGTGCCATTTTCACGTGGGTGATTGAAGCGACTCCGTTTCGCTTGCGTTGGAGACGCGTGGTCTGCCTGCTGTCGTCGTTTATCATTTTTTCGCACCGGAATCGCACGAGAGCTGGCCCCACTAGACCCATCTGCTCGAGGGTGCTGCTGGTTGTCGGGAGGTGGCGATCGCGTTGCCTCTGTTGCAATATTTTCACTTTGGTGTCCTGCTGGTTCTGGGTCTTCAGAATGCAGAGAAGCACCAGCTCCAATCATACCTGCCTCAGCAGCATGATTTCCTTTTGAGGTCAGCGCTGCATACACTGATCGCAGCTGCCCAATGGTGCAAGTCGCCGGAACAGCCTGGTCACGAAGGTCGTCCTCAAGATCCCAGAGCCAGTCGCCCAGTGCTTGCGTGCGTGGTGTTCTCTCCTCCACATGTTGCATCACTTGTTTCACTCCAAGCACGACCTCTGCAAGTTGATCCGCCGTATTCGCATTCTGTATAAAGTCCATGATCTGCTTTTCCTCCCCCGGCGAGAGGGGCTCGCCGCAGTCCCGCAGGCGGCTGCTCTGCAGCAGATCGTCATCGGCACTGCTGACGCTGTGCAAGCAATGCAGCAGCTCGGTCAGATGCTTAAACTGTAGCGTTGTTCCCGGCAAAAGCTGTCTCACTGCTTCACTCAGCGGCTGGTCAGGCGAAGCCGTTGCAGAGTCCGCGAAACTGTAATCAACGGCGACTCGGTGCAACTCTGTGCCAAGCTGACGTCGGTTTGCGGCGTCCAAGCCACGGACCGCATCCGCTACGCCCGACGGAAGAGGGGTACGCCAATGCTTCGACTCGGGCGCGGTTTCGTCGCCACGGGGTCGGAAGTAGAATGGCGGCAGGCGCTCCAGGGAGATTCGCCGAGTGCTGCAACCCGCCAAGCATCGCAAGCGCATGGTATCATTCAGCAGTGTGAAACGCCGCTGCCAGTGCGCCCGAACCTGACGGGGATCTCCAGACGCAGACTCGCGTCGGAAGAGCGATGCACATTCTTCCTCAACGGAGCGCGCCACCTGGCGAAGACCGTCTGCGTCAACGAGTGCGCTTTGCACGCTGTGCTTGATCCCTGTCAAATTCAGGACCCTTCGCGAGCTGTTTGTGTGTGCGCTACCTGAATCCTTCACGAGCTCTCCCGTACTTCGCAGTTCTCGAAAAAGATCCAGCGGTGGACCCAGGCCGACGCTGTTCATCGCTTGCGACGCATTTTGTGTCTGACTCGACGACGATGACATATAGCTAGGCTGGGCTGCGCGCGTTACTGCAGTTGCTGAATTGAGGCTACTTGCGGGGCCGAAAAGCTCGTCAACGAGCTTGTTGTGCACATCGTCGACGACAGTCTTGAGCACCAGCCAGGCGAAGGACCGAGGGTCCTCTTCAACAAGCAAAAATGGACGAACTTGAGAATACAGGGAATCCGTGTCCGCCACATCCATCTGCGGCACAGAAATATTTCGCTGACATTCGAAGTTCACGCGCACTTCTGCGAAATGATTCCAAGCGGATTGAAAGCGCTTCAAAGGCAAGGGCTCGGAACCGTCAAACACAGCACGTAGTGAAAGCAGTTGTTCTTCACGTGCACCACCTTGGCGATCTTCCTCTGGTGCGCCCCCGGAAGTATTCCCATATCCTTCGTTGCGGAATACGCGGCCATAGCCACGCGCAAAGACGAAGAAAAGGCCAGCAATGAAATCGGGTAAAAGCCGCATCTTTGACTCATACTCGTCGAGCGCAGTCATGGTAACCAGAGTACGCGCGAAGGCGAGGCGGTCCTGAACTGCTTCGCTGAGCTGGTTCCACGCCTCTTGAATTACGACGGGTCCCGTGCGTTCACGTAGAACCAGTGGGCCTGGAATAGGAAAGGCCTCCGGATCGAACCTCCGAAAGCGCTCTGCATCGTCGTGCAGGTCCTCAAAAATATACTTTTCGGAGTAGTTTGCCGCGGGCGTCGGAGTGCCCGCCTGCGACCTCTGCATCATGTCGGCCAGAATTCGCTGCGCCTCATTGCGGCGATCAGCATCTCCCATTGCACACAGCTGGCCGAGATCCTGAGTGCAGGCATTCGCAAAGGCACGTTCACAGCGATCGCGCTCTGCATCCTGATTGGAAATGCCAGTCGCAAATGCCCCTTCTCGCAAAGATGCCGCAACGTGAATCAGGATCCGCGCAGCGTCTTCCGGACTCAATCCCCCGAGAAGATTCTGCAGCGCTGTGAAATGATTGGCATATCTTCGCAAAAACTCCTCTCGTTTCTGCTGTGGAGCCGACATGTCAACAACAAGAGGGGCCAACAGCAAAAGCTGCGACAGGCGCCACGGAACTGGCAAAAGCGATCGTATGGACCCACTGGGCTGTTGCGGTACTTCGTTCTCAGCAGCGAATCCCGGCGGCACGTTGGCGGCCTCTTGGACGTCCATTGGCCGGTTCGTGTGATGCAACGTATGGTTCCGCCCCCCCATGGGACGACCGCAAGACGGGCAGGCAACTTGCTGCATCGTCATTCCACACTCTCCTACAAAGTAAGGCTCTCCGCATGAGCAAACGTACATTTGAGTTCCTCCCGCCGCTCTTAAATTTCTCGCGATCCCAGCCAATACTGGTTCAGGCTGACCAGGCAAGATCGTATTTGCCAGCGCTCCATGTCCGTTGCGGGTGAGAGCCACGAAAGGAGACTCCGTAGCGCCACGACGCTCGCGCCGCATTGCATGACGCAAGCGTGCCACGCACAGTGCGAGAGGGATTACAAGGTGTGCCACTTCGTCAGGCACAGACTGCGGAAAGGTCTGCAAAACTAGATCGAAATCGAAACCCACGCTTCCTGCATTTACGGCCTGCGCAATCGCCCGCGGCCAAGCCCGCTGCGGGTCATTTTCGTCTTGGTCATTCATAAGCTCTTCTAAAGCATCCGCATAGCCCGGCAAGACGACAAGCCCAGACTGCATTGTCTCGTGAAATTTGCGACGCCGTTCGTCGTCGTTCGTGCTGTCGCCGCATTTGTAATATCGAACCAAGCGCCTGAGCGGATCCCCCAGCACGAAGCCCCCATCTTCGGTCCGCAATCTCTCCAAAAACTGAACGCGATGCATCTGACTCTCACCTATCCGGTTCAGAAGTAGCCGGGCAAGGTAATTCTGCGCCGCTTCCCCGAGAAAGGCTGCTTCCTGATCTGCGTCCCCCTGAACAGCGCCTCGTCTGCCGGTGCCAAACATCAGGGCGAGCCCGTCACAGAGAAGCGGAGACTCCATCGTCAGCTGACTCGCTGTCGTCTCCAAGTTGCCTGCCGCAGCGGCATTTGCGATCGTCTCCACAAACTCGTCCAACACGAGATAAGAGACGTGCCGAAGCGTGCGCTTACTCACCCACGCGTGCTCAGCGTCTGGCCCGGCAGTGCAGTGACGGATGCAAACTTCGACCGATTCGTATGATCGTCCGACCAAGGCGTTCAGAGCTTCAAACGGTGCTCGTGCTCCTTCACGATTCACGGCACGCAATGCCTGCTTCATGATGATCTCGGTGCACTCGTCGATGACACTTCGATGACTTACTTGGGTGGCTGCTGGAAGCGCACTCCACCGTCCGCGGAGCTCGGCAAGACTTCCGCTCACCGCGCCATCCTCTCCAGCTGATGCGCGACGTCGCAGAATGAGGGCGTGAAGGAAAACGATCATAGATTCCGCGTTGGAACCCGTGGCCTCAACAGCATGGCAAAGAGCGCCCAGCCAGGCAGCCTCTGCCTCTCTCCCGAGGGCATCCTCACCATAAGAGACTAGCGACGCGAGGAGAGTCGCGACCGACAATAACGCCCACTCAGAAAATGCCTGGTCGTCCTTACCAGCACTTGGTATCCTCGAAGTTGCGGAAGCACAGTTTCTTCGAGTGGCGGCAAGTATGCGCATGACGCAGTCTTTGTGTGTTAGGGAATTGAAATCTTTCTGGACGAGGAAGCCGTAGCCAACGGCCGGCGGAATGCCCAGCGAGCGCGTAAAGCCGTGCCACAGTTCTACTTTCCGGCACAGTGGTTTTGATAGTCGCAGTGTGTCACCTTCTGCAAAGCATGCCAGCTCGCGGACAGCTGCTAAAGCATTTTCCGTTGGTTGCGAAGCGAATCCGCAGTTTTGCAACTCGACTAAAACACTTCCCTCCATGTTTTCTCCGCCTCCAATTCTGCACGCAATCGCTTTTCGAGCTGTCGCAGGGTCGACAAAAAGGAGTCTTCCAAGCAAGACTTTGCACAGTCTTGGAACGCTTTTGCGAAGAGCCGCTTCGGAGCTAGCATCCACAAAAATACTCGATGTTGCCGTGCTTCCAATGCTCACGGACGCGTGCCATACCGTGTGTACCGTCGCCTCGACATGACACAATCGGGCGAGGCTTCTTCGATTGCAGTATAGAACGGCGAGTGCGGCGTGAAACGCATTGGACCCACCGTGTCGAAAACAAAAGTGCGCGCAAGCGCGTGCAATCGCGCAGCGAACTTCCTTCGTCGACCCGTAGAGAAAGACAGCCGCACCGTCGAGCACTGCTGCAGCCAGCGGCGGCGAAAGCATTCCAGAAGCAAGTCCTGTCTGTGGGAAAGCTGGCTGTAGCGCTGCCAGTACCCCGGCGCTATCGTTGACACTTCGACGTCGATCATAACTGTCCAATGCGTGCAACAGCTCAGGAGCAAATAGAAAGTGCTTACGCGCATCATTTTCGTCCGCAGGAGCACTCAGACGCTGCCGCAGGAACACCTGTGACAGGTTTAGCCCCTCGTAACCAGCAGTAATGTCGCGCACCAAACTCTCTATACTTCGCAACCGAAGACGGCGAAGAAAAGGAGCAACCACGGAATGCCGAAGAATTCTGGCTGCGAGCTCGGTGAGCTCTTGCGCCAGCCCAGCCGGTGCATCGTCATCATCAGCTGCTGCCTGGCGGCCGACATCGGCCTTCGCAGTGTCCAAGAGCTTCTCCCTGCACTCCGCAAACGCACGCAGCCACGGTCGCATCTCCATGAGAGCGCCTTGTACGGTTTGAGTGATAAATCCGAGAAGAAAAGCACGCACTGAACCAATGCTGTCCATCTGGGCTGGTGTCAGTTTCCATCTTGCGTCCCGTAGGATCTTTACTAGGCTCTCTGCGGCATCGCCGCCATCGGGTACGGGGCTCATTTCCTGCTCGTCTCTCTCAGTCTCAGCAAGACAAGCAAAGCGAAGAACAATACGCAACAGACTGCGGGCATCCTTTCGAGCGTCCTCTGCACCACCCAAACGCGCCAAAGCCGCCGCCGTTTCGGGATCCGTGAGCTGCTTTCGGACCACCTCCGCGTCCAATAGCTGCTCCAAGCCAGGAAACTTGGGGAAAGAGCGGGTGACTTCGTCGATCCAGTAGAAACGCACAACGCGAGGTATCGGCGTGGACGCTGAAACGAACAGGCGACACTGCATTCGACCGGCAAAGAGCGGCGGGCAGAGAAGAAGCAATCTGTTGGGAAGTTTTTCGTCGGTGAGCATGATAATGTCTCCCTCGTCTCCACGTAGCGTCGGTGTGCCGCCTAACCCGAGACTCAAGGAAAAGTCCATCATTTGCGCTAGAGAGCAGCCGAAAAAATCAACCAGCACCAAACCGCGTTTCCTTGTCTCTTTGCGCGCATTCTCCACTGCGTCGAGGAAGTCGTTTGATCGAAGCACGTCCACAGCTTTTACCACGGATATGGATTCGTCCAGCCCCTCCCCCAAGCTGTTCAGCGCTGTGGCTGGAGCGCGCGTAAACACGACATACGTCGTTTTGGTCTCTTCCTGAACGCCTTCGATCACATCTTCTAGTGTTGCCTCCACATCACGAAGAAAAGCCGCATCCGTCAGCGTCTCGCCAATAGTTCTGTCCGTGCCTTGCGCGGCAGTCGCGGAGGTGGCTGCCACAAGTCCGCAACGAACCTCCGGGGCGGCGACCGGGCGGACAATGTCTGCGGCGGGTGGGGAGTAGTCGTGCAGGACACTCAAGCGTGACAGCAGCGCCTTCGGATAACGCTGAGCAACATCGGTGGCGTCCGCAACAATGACAATGCGTGCGCGCGCGTCAACTAGAATCGATTCATAGAGACAATTGTAGCTTATGGTCGCCGTCGTTTTGGTCGGTCCTCGGCTGCTCGTCGAGCTAACCGCAGCTGCGTGTCCGGCTCGAGCCGTCGCGTACACTGGGTCCATCAGGTCCATTTGTGTAGTGCTGTCACCCTGTGATTGCGACGCGGCCACCGGCTGGAAAGTGCTGTCATATGCCGCGTGGTCGATTCCGGTAGCACTAC